CAGCTCCCTGGCCGGGGATGGAACTCATGCTGCAGTGGCTTAGGAGAGCTTCATAGTGTGGTGCTGTAATCCGTTGTGCCACCGGGGAGAGCCCAACAATTTTATATTTTAGGAGAAAATCATCTTTCTTTTTGTTCCAGTCTCCAAAATGTTAAGCTTTGTCAGAATACAAATGTTCTTTCAGAAAATGCCAACTGACTCTTGAGACAGGCCACAGGCGTTGGCTAGTACCTTGTCTGAGAAATGACTGCCTGTCTTTTCCAGGTGGCGGGTTTGCTGGTGCTAAGTTACAGCAACGACTACCACCACTGGGGCGCGACCAAGAGCCTAGGGCAGTGGCTGCAGGAAGAAAAGGTGAGGAGTATTTGGTGGGGACCATGGAAAACTGGGAAGGGAGCGCATGGAAAGGCCCATGCAGCGAAGGGGGTCTTGTCGTAGGAATCTTTATTTTGGAGTGTACTTCCTTCTGTTATTGTAGGCTCAACTGTACTAATTCGCATCTAAACACTGAGGACACCGTATTTTCAGTTTGTCCACTAGGTGGCACTCATACATGTTCGTAGCTTTTCATCTGCAAAGGCTAGAGAAAAATTTTAAGATTTTTCTATTCTCTGGAGCAACTGAACCACCCGTTCTCCTTTTATTAAGGATCTAGATACATAACTTGCTTCCTGAGATCTAGTACCAGCTCTACTATGAACAGCCTTTGGTTAGGTCACTCAGTGACGCCATCCTTTTTCTTTTTATAGTGCACTATTTATTTATATAATGTTGGTGTAGGACACATAGGATTCAAAGGAATAAGATCACACCTCTTCAGATGTAATCATACCATGCTTTCTTCAATTTCTGTTTTATAAGTATAAACAAATTGATGTCTCTGGAACTAAAACTCTGACATAATTAGATGTGTCATTTGAAGTAATTAATGATGAAGTTATAAAATTTATTTTATTTATTCCCTAATTTAATTATTATTTTCCAAACATATACAGATGACTCTTTGGGTTTGGATGTCCAACACAGGTCATTTACATTTAGCTTTATCTCCACTGTCATAGCTATATATATTTTTTTAAAGATTTATTTATTTATGCTTACAGAACTGGGATACAGGCCAGAGGTGTGGTGGATGGGAGGATTTACCAGAGATAGAGTGGGGAGCAGAACAGGCAGACTGACAAAGTACACTGTTGAGGGGAGCAGCGGGTAGGTCAGGAGAGGTCTGCTGCGCCATGTGGGTCAGCTCCCTGGTGCTGCAGTGGCTTTGGAGAGCTTCATAATGTCATGCTTTAGCCCATTGCGCTACCAGGGAGAAGCTTATTGTAGCTACTTTGTGTTTAGCTGTTGCTGGACCTATAATTAACAAAATGTTATTTTGAGGAACTTCAGCTTTTCCAAAATCTACCCTTTTTGGCTAAATGTTTTCTCTTTCTGGAAAATGAAAAAAATCTTGACTTTATCTTTCTGGGTGTCATTCTTTCAAATTTTAAAAAGGGGAGAGAGGTATTTATATCATCCCCAGGGTTGTTAATATTTTCTTCTCAGCTGTTATCTGAAAGCTCATTTTTGTAATGGTCATTCGCAAAACTATTGCCTTTTAATGTGTTCTCTGTGTTATTTAGGACACCTGAGATTTGGAGCACAGCTGCTTTGTGTCACAAATTAAGTCTAATCCACTTCTTGTTATTTTATTTTTTAAAAATGTTTTTTTGAGTTTTCTTCTATTATCATAGAGTAGAAAAATCTAATATAATAAGCTATTCGCCTCCTTCTATCTATGTACAGGGAGGAAAAACACCTTGTTCACACATCACTCAGATCACTGGTGGCAGAAAAGAAATAAGAACTTGCTTTCTTGGTTCTTAATTTTTTTGCTGCCCTTTCATTATCTTCCGTCTGTCTATATCCAACGTAGTGAAAAACAAAACAAATTGTGGTGTTACGTCACTTAAAACAGGATGGGCAAATGTTATTGTAGCATGACAACTTAACAAGCATCTTTAGATAACTATTAAGTGCCTACTATGTACCAAGAGCGTTTAACTAAAAAAATGTTTTTGTATATTATTCATATATCATAACTTATGAAGTTTGCAAATTCCATTATACCTGCACACATACACACACACATTACTTATTTAAAATCCTGGGTTAAAAACAACACTGTAGCAGAAGATTGATGTTCAGAATTTTTCATTTTTTATTCTGAGGAAGAGCCTGCGTTATTAAGAGTCCTGTGCCCAACTGAACAGCAATTTACCCTGTTCTGACAACACGGTCACCCTGGGTCAGAGAAAAGAAGGAGTAGGGAAATTATTTACTGCTCAAGAAGATAGATGATGTTAAGTTTGTAACCTGAAAACAATATGCTGGATCTAATTTCCTACAATTTCACTGTCACTACAATTTTTCTTACAGGTTCCTGCAATTTATGGAGTAGATACAAGAATGCTGACAAAAATAATTCGGGATAAGGTATGACCAACATCTTCAGCCAAACCTGTGTTTCTTCATATATATCTTTTTGTAGTCCAAGAAAGCCACTAGTATGCAAAAAAAAAATGAATGTTGCAACGTTATGTCATTTGGATCTTCGGCATCTTGTTTTACTACTTCTGATATAAATTTTAAGACTTAATACTTGATTGGGATAGTCGTTACTGAATGGATGTCAGATTATTAATTCACTTGGGACTTTCTAGAGTGTTCACTTTGTTCACTTCCCCCACATGTCAAGGTCTTTATAATGCAAGTCACATGACAGGACTAGTCAGTGAAACAAGTGGAGAATGTTACATAAAGTGCATAAAATTTTGGCCTAAATTGAATGTCTATGCCAGAAAATGCAAAGCAAGAAGTATACAGCATTGGTGCTAATATTTCTTCAGTTTTCTTGGAGAAGTTTCCCATGACATTACTGAGCTGTATTTCCTGCGTACACCACCTTAGCCCTCCATTATCTAGTCTCTTTTGGGACTGCACCAGTGACCAAAGTGATATCAGGCAAATGCTGAAACACCCTATCTCTTCTCTGAGAATGTATCTTCACCATCTGCTCATTTCTTGTTATAAAAGGTGGGCACCATTTTACTTTAGGCCTGAACTCTTATATCCCAGACTGGATGAAAACTTTACATCACTATAATGTTAATTAATTACCTCAAATACTAGTACCAATTTTTCATTAAATTATATTACATAAAAAAGGAAAATGATGACACAGTTTCAGTATGAAATAAGTTTTCCATAAAAATTTGTTACATTTTCCTTGTTAGATGATGTATAGGTCGAGGATCTTTGTTAGCAGAAAGAAAGAAAGAAAAAGCAGCTTAGGAAATAAGAATATGGCCCTGTACCCAGGGAGAGAAGGAAGGCAGAGTTTATGGAATTCTTCTGATGATTTTCCTGAGAATAGTTTTTAGAATATATGTCCCAAGTAGATTCACATGTTTTCTTAGCCCATCATTATCTTGTGAGAGCAGTAAACAGTGATGAGGCTATAAGTAACAATGAGGAGGGAAGAGAGTAAAATTGGGAAATCCCGTTTGGGCTGCAGAATTGGCAGGTTGACTACAATAAATTCAGACTTAATAACCTGGCAAAACACTTTCCAAGCGTCTACTGTGTTCTTCATATTTCTTAGTTTAAGAGGAAACCTCTTTTCTTTTTTTTTTTTTATCAAAGTCAGTTTATCAAAATTTAGAACAGTTGAACACAAACAAATAAAAAGTAATGCTGCCTATTGTATTTAATTATGAGTAGTGCCAGTTCATATTTAAAAAAAAAAAAAAGGTATGCTATAGTTTTCTATTCAATGATCTTAGGTTAACAGTAAGGTTGTTTTTCATTCAGCATACTTTAAGAAAAGGGAATGAGATCTGAAAACCAAATTCTAAGGTTAGGAATCCATGAGTGCATTAAGGAATCCTGTGATTTGGACTATAAATGTAAGTAGAGACTGCCCTGAAATTTAATAATTCAGTGTAGAAGTAAATGGCATTTTTATTTATTTTTCCTGGATTGTGAAGTAGTGCTCTGGTTTTAGTAATGGCACTGAAATAACAATCATATCTGAGGCACTTACTACCTCACCTACTCCAAGTGACTTTTTCCTGAAGGAAAATATTCAGAGGGAAATAAAAGCTTCCTTTTATTTACTTCAAAGCGATCATTTCCTTTTTAAAAGGCAAATCAATAAATTATTTTAACAACCCCCTCCAATAAAGTCTTGGTTACTAAATATAGCATGCCATTTTTTTCTAAGTAGTTCAAACTGGAATTACTAGCAAATAAGTAAATCTCAAAGCACAGCTAATAGTAATCAGAAATAATTTGCCATATTCAACCTAGCAAGGTTAGTTTGTGAAAACTTCACAGAGGGTTATTAAACATTCTTAAAGTCAGTCCTTAGGGATAGCTGGACATTAGCATGTCTAAAGCTGTGAATTGTCATTGCCATTGCTGGGAGTTTATGACTCATGCTGCATTTTACTTTTCTACCATATGATAGTATCATAAATTCTCATTCTTTACATTTTTCTGCAGTTTTTGTATCTTATTTTCTTCTCCATAGATTGTTTTGTTCCCTTTTCCATGAAATATTTTTAGATAACAGAAATTAATAGGTACCTTTCATACTCCAATTTTACCATCCTGGAATCTGGAGACCTGAATTCTGTGGCCTTTTGACTTTGCATCCCCTAGGGGACTGTCTCAGCCTTGATGAACTAATTGTACTTCCCAAAGTGTTTCCAAAATGTACTGGACAAATTGCTTCATCTTTCCATGTTGAGAAGATGAAGGTCTTCTGCTGATGGTTATGAGTAGTTATAAAGACATCTAAATCTTGGAGCAGCTGTTTAAGTCCCTCTAGATTTATTCTGTCAGCACCTTTATCGTTGTTCTGGCTTAACTGTCTGTTTCTTAATTTGATAGGGTACCATGCTTGGGAAGATTGAATTTGAAGGTCAACCTGTGGATTTTGTGGACCCCAACAAGCAGAATTTGATTGCTGAAATTTCAACCAAGGTGAGATTTTTTCCTTCATATTTTATAACTATTTCATTACCTTTAGATCGTTCTTTCTAGATATATCAAAATCTTCACTTAGGCAGAGGGCATATTCCAGAAGCATCAGAGGTAAGGAGAAAAGAGGACCTCATAGTAGCTAAAATATATATTACAAAATTTGCTTATAGGGAAGCCTTCATGCTGATTCAGATACTGTTTTGGTGCTTTAGTTGAAAAGCTTCCAGAAAACTCCATTGTTAGTATCTTACTATATACATTTAAGATGTTCACTCAGGTTTTCTTGTGAACTTTCTTCTTGAATATCTTACAGAGTCAGCATTTATTTGCAAATTATTTCCCTCTGCCTAGAGTCCCTTTTTCCCCACCCCTTTTGGACTTTAAGAAGTCACTTTTAACAGTCAGATCATTGTTCGTCTATGACGTTTACCCTGACTCATGATACCTTTGTGTTTTAGGTCATTTATAAACAGTTACCTATCCATTTTCAAACTGTACTTAACTCCCTGAGATTGTCTCTCTCACCTGCCTGTGGTTAATTCTTTGAGAGGAACAATCATAATTTATTTCACTGAATCCCCACCACATGATGCTCAATGATAATTACTGAATAAATGGGTCAAGCCAGTAAATAGCAGTCAAAGTGAGTGGTGAAGATGTAGTGCATTTTTTTTTTCTTTTCTGATTGCTTTAGTTGGTGCTTCTGATGGTTTGATTTATCTCCAGTACTAATATAAAATTATCATTACTCTTAACTATTATAAGTTTCATTAATAAACTGATAATAGGCAAGATGTTTTGAATACCTATTATATATCAGACATTCTTTTAGACACTCTACTAACCAATTTATTCAATCATCAGAGCAATTCTATGGGGATAGGTATTATAGGAATCTAATTTACCAAAGAAAAAGTGGGGCTATAGAGATTTAATTTCATTCTCAGGGTAAACAGCTTCTACTAGGTAAGATCTACACCTAGAAAGGCTTGATTCAGCATCTCTCACATAAACATTATCTTATATGCCCTCTAATATTTTAGAAATGATAAATATTAGTAGCTGTGGTCAGACTATCATATAATAATATTCACATCAGCTTATGCAATTTTACTCAGATCCTTTTACATTTGGAAGGTGAAGAGTCTAGGATATTTGAAGCAGTAAAACATATCTGAGATAGTGGGAGAATGCATCAGAAATCCCCATCCTGTGGTAAGCAGTGCTCAGACCCTTACTGTGACAAAATACCCGTTCATTTGTGAAATGATTCACATGACTCAACACTGACCCAGCGAGTATGAAAACGTTCCTGAAGAGGAGCTCCAGCTGTAAGAATATTGTTACTTCAGAGTATTTTTAACAGAAAGTTTTATTGAAGGAATAAAGAATCTGATTAGTGGTGTGGCAGGCTTAGAGAGAAACATGACATTCTGACCTGGTATTGCTGTACTTGTCACATGGAAATGGGGAATGAAGATGTGGGGTTCCTTGGAATCAGTAGTGAGTCTTGAAGTGCATGTCAGACCCCAATGCACATTCACATTATGCTGAAGTGTAATTAATAGGAATTATTAAAGAAAGTGAATTTCAGTGACTATGTAATTACTAATGTATTTGCAATTTAATTATTCTCTATGTGATGTTCACGTGTTAATTCAAACACTTGTCTATTCATATGACATGAAACTTTTTTTCTGTGTTTGTTTCCATGCACTTCTCATTGAGGAGTTTGAGACATAGCATGAATGAGGCTATTTTTCCTTTTCAAAAGATAGGTCTTAGGATTGATATGACTTTGAGAATCTAGTCTGGCACTTTCCAAATGTGAGGAACATTGGTCTAAAGGAATACACTGGTCTAAAGAAATATACCTTAAAATAATTCTGTGCTCAAGTTATGCTGAAAAGCACCACATCACATAGTGCTCCCTGGGATTGACCTAGTGCATGTCGATAGCCTGGTGTTTGTGAGGTCTTGCTTATCTCCTCTGATTCTACTAGAAAGTATAAAGTGTGTTTTCATAGAGGGCAGCATAAAGGCACCTATCTGTGATTTTATCTCTGTCACTGTTTCTTAATCAAGCTCAGTTAAGTCATTTTATTATAGCTGTGATGAGTGTACATTTGTATCAGGAGATTCTATTTTTCTGTGAGTTTTGTTAGGATGTGGCTGATAATTTAATTCATTGTATTGTGATTAAATTTGATGTAGCAACTAGATGGGAACTGCCTTATTTTGTAACAGAAACCTAACATTAGGAATAAATCTACTTTTCAGACTAGCTCATTAGAAAGAATGTAGCAGTCATGGAAGAATTCAGTAATAATTCCCTTGGATCTCAGAAGGATTGGGAATTTTCTTTTTTTCTAGAATGAATAGCAGGGAAAAAATCCTTTTCATATTTTTTTCCACAAATAAATCTAACTTCACATGAAATAGACCTGTGAAGAAGTAGACCTCTTCTCAGTTAAAGTAAACTTCTCAGTTTGCAGCTTTTATCTAAAACCTTTGCAAATGTAGAATTCATCCTAAATTCAGAATTTTCTAGCTAACTCTCAAGGCTGGAACCAGATTGGGGACTTAGCCCTCTAGGCTTTTCTATCTGTGTTTCTATTATTTCTCTTTTTATGACTTTGGTTTTGGTCAATGTCCGTGAAAATGTCCGTGAAAATGGATCTAACTCCAAGCAGTGCTTAAGAAGTAGGTAATGATTATGATATGCTGTGGGATCCTTTTATGAAGTGTAACTTTTTTTTTAAAAAAAGATTTATTTGTGGCCCTCCCTGGTGGCGCAGCAGGTTAAAGCACAGCACTAAGAAGCTAAAGCCACTGCAGCATGAGTTCGATCCCCGCCTGCCCCGGAGGTGACCACATGGCGTGGCAGACCTCTCCTGACCCGCCCGCTGCTCCCCTCAGCAGTGTACTTCTGCTGTTCTGCTCCCCACTCTGTCTCTGGTGAATCCTCTCGCCACCTCTGGCCTGTATCCCAGTTCTGTATGTATAAATAAATAAATCTTTAAAAAAAAAAAAGGTTTATTTGTTTATGCATACAGAACTGGGGTACAGCTCAGAAGTGCAGGGGCAGTGAGAGGATTCACCAGAGACAGATTGGGGAGCAGAACAGGCAGATCGATGAAGTACACTGCTGAGGGGAGCAGTGGGCAACACAGGAGAGGTGTGCTGTGCCATGTGGATCATCTCCGGGACTGGGGATCAAACTCGTATTGCAGTAGCTGCGGTTTGCTTGCAGTGCTATGCTTTAACCCGTTGCACCACCAGGCAGGGCCCTGAAGTGTAACTTTTACTGCAGCGGTTGCACAGTAACTTAAAGGGACCAGTGGTCTACGTTACTTAGCAATTTCTTTGACTCTTATGTTAATTTTATCCATTAGCCCCATTTCCTAAACCTAACCCCAATGTCCCTACCTCTACAGGAGTTTTATTGCAAATTGAGGATTAAGTAGTCTTTAAAGCATTATGTTTCTATAACCACATTTGTATAGTGCTGAATCAGGTAAAGATAACTTGAAACTTCCAATGTGATGGGTTGTTACTGCAGCAAAATATGAGAAAAGTGGTTACTAACCATGGGAGCAATCAACTTTCTAGGAATTATTGTTTATTTTTGTAATTAACAATTTATATAAAATGGCAAAGGACTTTTTAGCTCATAAAAAGAGAGACTGTCTATGGTGCTCATTTGTGCCTTTCTTGCAAATTGATTAACTGCCAGTCACTCCCAATCAATGTTACCAGCCTCTGTACAAAGCACGCGCAGATGTTTTTAGGAAACTGGTATGTTGCTTATAACTAGAACTTTCCTCTCATGCTCTGGTTTTTCAAATGGCAGGATGTCAAGGTGTTTGGCAAAGGAAACCCCACCAAAGTGGTAGCTGTGGACTGTGGAATAAAAAACAATGTAATCCGCCTTCTAGTAAAGGTAAGTAATTTGTTCCATCTCATGGGTGAGGGTTTGTAATATCGATCGTTAGTGTTAACGCTGACTTCCTCTATCTGTTTCAGTGAAAGCTTGTGCATTTTCTCAGAATGGCAGGGATCTACTTTCTTCTTGTTGCCTTTGATCTACAAAATAACACATTTATCCCTCTTCAAATTAGAGATATAGGCTACTATGTTTAAAGGGGAAAAAAGCCTCAAATACTACAAAACACCAAAGAAAATGACGACTGTTCTTATTGCTTGCTGAGTGACAGTCTGAGACACACTACATTCATTTCTTGGGAGGGGTTGAGATGGTCAGTAAACCAGTCTGAGAGAGAGTTTGTCCACTGAGATACCTTTATTAGGTACCATATGTTTGCAGGGGTGATGCCTAACATTGTACAAACTTTCGCATTACTTTATACCAACTCATAGACAACAGGTTAAAAGTGGCTGTTATGAATGGGTAAGGCGCATTTAGCAATTATGGTATTATTTTCTTAAATATTGTTTTGTCTGTAATTGTCCCCTCCTCACTTCTCTTGCAATTTAGTCTCAGTCTCTTTCTCTCCTTCCCACCTTCCCCACTGTGATATTTGGACAACTCCAAATTATCACTGTTGTAGAAGAAGCGCTCAACTCACCTTTTCTTTTTTAGAAAATAACAGCAATATCCAAATAATCATTCCAAATCCTTACCTTATCATTAGCAAAATTTGAAACTCTTCAGTGGCAAATACCCCTTTCCACATCTACATCATTTTATTTTTTTGCTATTTTAAGTCATTTTGCTTTTCTTATAATTGCAAACATCTGCATCTCATTGCCCGAGGGCTCACTTTGATTGGATGGAACCTATTGCCTAGCAGGAAATGCCATAAAATGAAAGGTTCTTTGAAAAGCCCTAAACAAAGGTTAGAAAAGGATTAGTACATAATATCCCAGTTCCTTTGCCCTGTGACTGATGGTCCTTAAGGTGGATATTCTACCGTGGGTCACAGAGTTCCCCAATGGCTTTGACTGTAGTTGGCTATGGAGGTAATTGCTTCATAATGCACTGATCGAGGTGTCTTGGGTGCATTTCCATTCATATTTCTGGGAAACATCTTCCTCACAAATACTTGTTTCAAGAAATGCTTCTGAAGATATCTTGCCATCCACTTTTCTATGGAAAGTTCTAGGTTTTTAAAATTAGAATTTCAATATAGATGATAGGAGAATGCACTGGAAATAAGGCTGATTAAAATTTGGTTGACAGAAAAGATAAAATTGAAAGAGTGAATGATGGACCAAACTGAAATCTTGTAGACGATGGATTGATCTCTTTCCGCAGCTTTTTATCCCACAATGAAATTAACCTGTATGTCTGAGTGAAACCTGGATTACAGGAAACACATTATGTATTTTCTCAGAATCAAAGTTTTAATGACTTTTTTAAAAATCAGTTTCTGCTGACTGTTACTCCGTATGCCACAGACAAAATACAATGAGCCACCAAAGAGTTTTTTGGTCAACATTAGTTTTTTGAATCATGTGCTCTTTTCCCCTTTCCTTTAGGGAGTAGTTAATCAAGAAAAAGGTCTAGAAAACTACACTTTGGCACAGAAAACTGTTATTAAGTTGATCATTCTTGTGTTCTTTTCCAGCGAGGAGCTGAAGTGCATTTAGTTCCCTGGAATCACGATTTCACCAAGATGGAGTATGATGGGCTTTTAATTGCCGGGGGACCTGGGAACCCAGCCCTTGCACAACCACTAATTCAGAATGTCAAAAAGGTGCAGTGATCATGGGGCTAGTGTGTATATCTGTGTGTGAGGTGGAGGGAAGCCTGCTCTGTGCTCTGGACTGCTGAAAAGACTACATTTTGTTTACTCAGGAATGTTTTAGTGCTTCCATTTGTGACCTCTAAGGCTAGGTCAGCAAAATATTATACAAAGAAACAAGTGAAGGGTGTCAGAGGACAAAGAACCTTCCTTCAGATAAGGAACTGGGACTGTGTCCTCTTGATACACTCACTGGAGTGTGATCTCCAGAGGTGTCTTTCCACACATTCAGAAGTGTTCCCCACCAGACCTTGGGACCTACGAGACCCTCATGTTCTTAAAGGACATTCAATCTAAATTCAATTTAGGTTCACTTGAATGTTAAATACCTTTCATTTAATCCCAATGCTCCTATTTGTCAATCATGTCTTACTTATATTCTACTTTAAATTCAATTAACTAATCTTTACCTTGTCAATTAAGGAGAAAGTATATTTTACTTTATCCATTCGGAGGCAGCATTTTTGGGAACTGTATTTCTGACGTAATAAAAATTCTCTCTGATTTAGATTTTGGAAAGTGATCGCAAGGAGCCATTGTTTGGAATCAGTACAGGAAATTTGATAACAGGATTGGCAGCTGGTGCCAAGACCTACAAAATGCCCATGGCCAACAGGTAAGGCTGGAATGGTTTGTACAGGTGAACAGACTCTCCATACTGTTAGTAACTTGGAGAACTTATAGATGTTTCCTTCAGAAAAATTGATACATACTGCTCTGTGTGCATAGTTGTCTGAGTACCTGATACCACTTTTATATAATTCTTGGAAGGAAGGCAGCCTTCTGTAAGGATAACTATAATAGTTTAAGCTGCTTTCTTTACCTTGGCATAAATTGAGGTTGCAATACTCAATCAAATGACATTTCAAGGGAAATTGTCAGATATCAAGCTTGATTTCAAAGCATTGATAGTATCATGAGACTTTACAGTGATTTGGTAACTGAGAAATCTACAGTTTCTCTGCAGCTCTCTGCTCCTCTCCCCTTTCTGCTGCCACACACACCATGCCCAACCTCCACATAAAGTAGAGTTAAGAATGTGTCAGGACTGAGCAGTCATATCTTTCCTCTAGCTTTCAAAGCACAGTTGCTCCCTTTAAATAAGTTGTTTATATGTCTGTCTCTGTTAAAACCTAGTGAGCAACTCTTAACTTGTTATGAGTGCGATTCCCCGTTTTCTAAAACTGATTTTAGAAGTTTAATAGACCTGATATTTAACACACAACAAAGCTTACTGAATTGATTCTTGTTGCTAAAATTATTGGAATTAACAATCTGTGACTTTTCTCACAGAGTAATTTTCACTAAGCAATTGAAACTTTTGCATTTTAATAGGTTTTTCTTGTTCACTCTTTTACCTTGAACATGCTTATATTGTTCTCTTCACTTTTCCTTTTTCCTCTTCTTTTTCTCTCCAGAGGGCAGAATCAGCCAGTTTTGAATGTCACAAACAGACAGGCTTTCATTACTGCTCAGAACCATGGCTATGCCTTGGAAAACGCCCTCCCTGCTGGCTGGAAACCACTTTTTGTGAATGTCAACGATCAAACAAATGAGGTAGGTGCTCTCAGTAAACTTGATTAGTCTGTGATAAGAAATGCAGGGCGTTTCATACTCTGTTATACAGACACCTTTCCCTTTATTTTGAGGGCTACTTGGGTGAGTGTATATAGAAGAAATCTTTTTGTAGGTTTTATTGTAGATTATTTCTGCGTTTAAAGTCTTTTCTGTCTGTCTAATTCTCTCGTCTGTTGACTCATTAAAATCCACTTTTTAAGTGATTTATCAGTGATTGTCCTACACCTGTATTGTTAGTGATGTTTGGGCCCCATCTGTATGGATCTCTGGTATTCACTTAGCTTCACTGCAGTAACCTTTGGGAAGACCATTGGAGAAGCAATTTAGGAGTCAGATAAGAGAAGTGGATTTGAATCTGTTTCCAAGAGTTGGAATCTATTTCCAACTGATTGTTCAAATCAGTTGTTTTTATTTAGGGAACTGCTTTGGGTTGAGTCTTTGTTCGTCTACTTTGATTGGTACTGTTTTTAGAATGCTTTTGAGCATTTAATTTTATTTTTAACTTGTATTGTCCATTGATCTATACATAGGAATTGATACTCATTGCTACAGAAGGACTTTACTCTTTCTTATTCCTTTAGGGGATCATGCACGAGAGCAAGCCTTTCTTTGGGGTACAGTTCCACCCAGAGGTCAGCCCAGGTCCAACAGACACTGAGGTATGTCAGAAAGATGAAGTCTGTTTTATTTTGTTTAGATCAGAAATGTGCTTAGGTGAAAATTTAAGCAATCAAAATAATTGCCATCGATGATGTTGGTGCAGAGCATCCTGAAAAGAGTGCTTGAAAACACATATTTTTGTGTTAAAATTTCTCCATGAATATCACGGAGGAAAAGTCTCTCTTTATAAAAAATGAAAGTAGGAAAGCCCTTAAGAAACCCAAAGTGATGCTATTTTTATTTAAATCATTGTAATATATTTAGTTCTGAAATTTACAATTGTTGTATTATGCAAATGAATTCCCTCTTGCTCTCCAGTTCTCATAACGGAAATGAAATTTTAATCCCCCATCTGTGACTTCACAAAAATCCCTATGGCAACTGGTTGTGTAGTCATGAAGGGAGAATAAACAGCAGCAGGAGATGGAGGGGGCAGGGTGCAGCGAGGGGACAGGGCATGCTTGCACATTTGTATGAGATGGTGGCTTGAAAAGAATGATGAGGAGTGCTTAGAGGAATTTTGTTCTTAAGCATTTTTATTTTTTAAGTGAGTTATTGGTTTAGTATTTAAGGCCATCCTTCCAAGTGAGTCTGACACAGAAAAATCTGGGCAGTCTGGAATGACTTCCTTTCTTCCACCCTAGGGCCTCCAGTCCCAATGCTGACAATTCTTCCCTGTCAGGAGTGACTCAGAAAAGCCACCTAGACATAAAGTGGAGGAAATAAGAACTTTCCTCTGTAAAGTCTACTTTCTCATTCCTGAGCTGCCTTTTCAGATATTTGTGTTTTGTCCTTATTTTAATATTATTAGGAAATAATGGTTTTAAATAAAGTCAGTATAACATTACCCACCTACAATGAAAAAATCGTAAATCACACTTAGTTTCATACATAGACCATGTAATGAATGCTAAATGCTTTTCATAAATTTAAAATCTAAATTATTTGCCTCTATTAGTCTTTCAGAATAGGAATTGGAAGTTAAGATATGCAATAGACCCAATGTCACTTAATCCTTTTCTTGTTCAGTCAAATAGTTGCAAGACAAAAATGGAGTAACTTTGTTGATATTTGGCAATGGTAGTAAATTCATTGGTAAAGCTTAAGTATACTCTTTAGTCATGTTTTCAGAGTTGATAGAAAATATTTTAAAATGCCCCTTTTTCTATTCTTAGAATGCATAAGTGGTATAGCTTGAATATTTTTTGAATAATTTGAATTTTATTTAGAAGAAGGAAATGATGGATAATGATGGGACCGAAAATGTGAAATTTTCAAAGTGCTTATCTTAAATGTTCATTGTCCGGTGAAAGCTTTCTTTTGGTAGTTTTGAAGTGAGCAACGGAAGTGTTTAGTTCATTTAGTAATCATATAGTGTAAGCCATAGGTAAAAGTTTAGTTTGCCAGATTTGGTAAAAAATTATTGCAGTGGAATACCAAATTTAACTGGACATATTGTATCTGGCCAACTTATGGGTTTTAAAGTTTCTAGTTAATTGGTTATGCTTTTTTTCTAGTACCTGTTTGATTCCTTTTTCTCACTGATAAAAAAAGGAAAAGGAACCACCGTTACATCAGTTCTACCAAAGCCAGCACTAGTTGCATCTCGAATTGAGGTCAGTACATGTGGTTTGGTTTTATGTATTTTGGATTTTCTCTATAGTGTGATTTTTTTTAAATGAATGATGTAAACTATTTTAATGTCTATGAACAATGATTGCTAATTTTGTAATTATCTTAGCAACTACTTCTGTGCTGTTCTTAATACTATTCATTAAAATCTTCAGGATTTTATTTAAAGTCAAACAAGTCACACTGCTAGAATACTTGTAATTAGTTTAGTAAAGACTAATGTTTAATTGAATTTAAAATTTGATGTAGTTTGGAATTTGAAACATCCTCCCTATTAAAACACCATAGCCCTGTATGTTGAGATATAGTTCAGACTATAGGCTCCAAATATAAGATAGAATTTATTGTTTCATCTACAAAAGCGATATTGGACTTTCACGTGTGGAATATTATTTTACTTCTCAAGAGCACATGAATGAGGATAAATGTAGTATAAGACTTAAATGCTTATTTGTTTAAATGTGTATGCTAATGTAAGATTTCTGTCTTCTATTTCCTTCATACTTAAAGCCACATACATATTAACAATGTTGTTATGCAAAAATATATTTACAAAAAAATATATTTACAAAAATATATGTACTTTCAAGTATATATCTCTATATACTTTATATTTTTATTAAAAAAGGGAAAAGATACTGACTTATATGTTTACAAGCAACAATAGGGTAGGTTAGATGATCTGTTGCAAGGATTTGCATGACAGTTTCCTTCCCTGAGATGTACAGAATGGAGCTAATTCAGTAGCCAAGTGAGCTATGCGCTTATGTGTAGTATTTTTCTCAGAATATTAACGCATGTACTTCAGGTGATTTTCTTTTGTTAATGATGAGGAAAATGTTATAATTTGGGATTCCACAGTCTAGTACATCCCCTTCTAAATGGTGGTTGATGTGAACCAAGTTTTCCAAATCCTTGTTTCTCGCGGTGGCCTAGAACATCTTTTTCTCATTGAAGGGCTTGGTAGTTGTGGGTAGACGATAGGCAGAATGTTTATTTGTGGATTTTTAATATGCTACCAATTTTAAAATATGCTTCCATCTTTTTTTCTTTATTGTATTTTCCACAAATATTTTTAGTACTAAGCTGTAAAGGTGAAAGGTAGGATCGCCTTACCTGCTATGCTTTTTTCTTTCTTGGGGAAGGAAGAAGGCACTGGAGCTTGCGTGCATTTATGCTGATTCGTTGTCCAAAAAACACCTATGGACTATTGAGTGTATAACTTTAGTTAATTAACTTCCAAGGAGGTCTTTATTTAAATACACACACACACACATAGGTGCATATAGCTACATAGATACTTGTGTCTCTACTTTTAGATATTTATATAAGTTTAAATAAAATGTAGAAGTTCTGAAAAAATTTTAAAGTGAAAAAAATGTCATCTGGGAATTGCTTGAAAATGACAGATGTTTAAATGTGTTAGTCTTTTTTCTCATTTATTATATGTATTTCAAAACACTGTGGTTTAAATCACCACATAAACCCAGACAATGTAATTTGTCTTCCCCACTCTTGAAAAATGCCTTATTGTTTGCATATTAGTAATGAAACAATGCTATTTTCTTCTCACTTACAGGTTTCCAAAGTCCTTATCCTAGGATCAGGAGGTCTGTCCATTGGTCAGGCAGGTGAATTTGATTACTCAGGATCTCAAGCTGTAAAAGCCATGAAGGTGAGAGAATATGATCTTTGCTAGAATTAATATACTCCCTTTAATGAGTCTAATTAGTATTTTATAATTTAGATTTATGACACTACCTCTGTTCAAAGTCACTATAATTAATTTTCCAAACTATTCCTCACACATCTTATATTAAAGGAAGCTTGATCACAGAGAGGGTTTTTCATTTTCTCAACTATGCCTGCCTGTAAATTAAAAAGGCTAGATTGGTCTCCAATATTATCTATACCATCACGTGTCCATGTTGAAAACATATAAGGCCACGTTTAGAGAGGCTTTTTCGGGGCAATGGGCTTTTAAAATATGCTGGTCATTTGTGTGAAAGAGGGGGTTTAGGCTTCCTCGCTGCTGAAAAGCCTTACAAAAGTTTTAGTGGGAATCTGTTGTAGAGAGAAATGGGAAGATTCAATTGACAGCAAAAGCAGTAATGCCTTTTGTTCAAGCTTTGGAAGTTGTTACCTGTTATTAAGAGACTCCTATCCACTCCTATCCACACTATCCACATCTCTTTTTTTTTTTTAAGATTTTTATTTATTTATGCATAAAGAACTGGGGTGAAGGCCAGAGGTGAAGGGGTGGTGAGAGGATTTACCAGAGAACAGAGTGGGGAACAGAACAGTTAGATCAAGGAAGTACACTGCTGAGGAGAGCAGCAGGTGGGTCAGGAGAGGTCTGCTGCGCCATGTGGTCACCTCTGGGGCTGGGAATGGAACTCACAATGAAGTGGCTCCGGCTGGCTTGCAGTGCTGTGCTCTAACCCATTGCACCACCAAGAATCTTCATCTTGAGTGGATAACCTACCTGGATGGCATGGCTGGATTGCCAAGGGGGAAAGAGATTTCATATCCAAGTTGAGAAGTTGTCCTCCCTTTTCTTCACTTTCTCTGGAGTGCTCCCCAACCATTCACATAGTAAAACAAACCTTTAGAAAAATTCCATTGTATTTGTAAGGCATTTCTCCTGAAGAGCTTACTGGCATCTCTACCTTCCTTATCTTTCTGCGTAATCTCCAACTTGGTGCCACTCAGAGGCTATGGAGTTCTCCCTGGCCTTGCCTCAGGCTTTGCAGAAGAGACATTCACCAGGGTCCTGAGTAGGGGAGAGAAAAGTAGGGGAAGTGGTTAGAGAGCAGGGCAACACATGAAGAAATGAGTTGGCTGACTTTTTTTTTTCTTTTTCTTCCATTCAGTATTCTACATAAAAAGATTTTCATGTGCTAGGTGTCTGTTTAAAAAGGAGAATACAACCCCCAAATGCTTTATTTTTCTTCCATTTAAAAAAAATTAACTTTGCATGTATGCACACAAGTACACAATTTTTCCTGCACATTTTCAGGGGACATTCTACTTCATTGTGTTATGATTATTTTTTCTCGTTAGATAGATAACTGATGGAAATGCAGTAGTGTGGTTAGTTAGAGAACACCATCTACATGTATTCAGGATTTAGAAAACATTAAACTCTATTAGACTAACAAACTATATTTTTTAAGTTTATTTGATAGTTTTATAAACTATAAATATCAGGGCATGTCCTAGTGGCACAACAGTTTAAAGTGCAGGGCTGTGAAGCTGGCCTTAGCCACTTCAGTGGAAGTTCATCCCCAGCATATGAGGTGACACACATGGCCTAGCCGACCTCTCCTGTCTCGTCCACTGCTCCCCTCACCATTGTACTTGTCATTCTGCCTATTTTGCTCCCCACTGTGTCTCTGATGAATCCTCTCACTGCTCCTGCATTTCTGGCCTGTACCCCAGTTCTGTATGCATAAACAAATAAATCTTTAAAATAATATTTCCATAACTTGTATTTTTAATGTGCTTTTTATTAGGATAGCAATGATTAGATTTAATATCGTAATGCAGATATTAATATAAATTAACATTTTAAAAATAATTAGGTGGTGTATATATTGTAGACAGAATTATATTAGAAAAATGATATAAAGTTCATTGAAATGGATACTCACCATATTGTGTGTGAGATTTTTCCCTATGTAATTATTATTTATGAAAATAGATTATTTGTTGTATTGCACATTCAAGAAAAGTGCTTACTAATATTCTCAAGTCTGTCCCTGGTGAAAGAACTCCTATGACTTCTGTTGATGTATTCTTATATAAAACTCAATTATTTAAATTCCAACTCATATTTTAAGTACATTTGCTTATCTGTATTTATCCATTCATATTTTGTCAATTATATTCTGTTTAAAACAATTCCTTAGAATCTTAAGGGACTCATATTATGGACGAGCATAGGAGATACTTCGTAAGACTTGAGTTAGAGTGCTAATTTTGCCACTTCTCTGTTATATGATCTGTGGCAAGACATTTAACCTATCGAATCTAATTTCTTCATCTTGTCGGTAGAAATTTCTCTCATCACTTTGGCATACAAAGCAAATCAATCAATAAATGGCACAATTTGAATTTAAAATAGCATGAAATACATTTCAGTTTTCACTTAGAGCTCCCCCCCAAGTATGTAAGACTGAGTCATCTGAATATTTTGTTGACTTTTTAGAAGAGTTTCAATTTGACAGGCTAATAGGTAAGAACCATCTGCTCATATTTCATAGTAATTGTTTTGGTAAGTCACCCTCATCCTGGTTTGTAAACTATTATCTTATAAGCCAGCCTACACGAAGAATTATTTTGACGGTCTCTCCAGATGTTCAGTGATAGGGCTATGAATCCCTTCTCTCTCTCACACACATACACAGGCACACATACTTTTTTATTTTATTTTTTTTGCCACATGGTCACTTTCTTTTTATATATTGTGCTTAAGAACTGCTTTGCTAAAGCACTACAGCTACAGCAGACATGAAAATCTTAAAAAAAGTAGAAGGTTCTCGGTGCTTCTAGCAAGAGGGAAGAAATTGTGCTGTATTTTAAATGAACAATTAGTATTGTCTTCAGTCAAAGGGAAGCAGATTTGGTAGTGCTTCTATTTTCATTTGGAATATTTTATTTTAAGGTTGACTGAGCTGTAAAACTCAGTCATATTTGTGGGTGTCTAGTTGCCCTACAGACACTGACGGTAGTAGTAAGGAATTCAGGGTTACTCTCCCAAATTAGCCTGTTCTTTTTACTAGTTTTATTTTAAAAAATTTCATTCTTTCATTCACCAGGTGTTTGTCTTCTTTTAACTTCCATTCATTAGTCCTATTACTGAATTCTACAGCCCACCAAGTTACACAAAGTTTTGTTATCCACCAAATAACACAATTTTGTTACCCACCAAATAACCCAATTTTGTTACCCCTCATTTGAATATGGTTATTCACTTCTTTCTATCATGTATTCAGATCCTGGATCCTTTACATTTGTTTGTTTGTTTTCAGGAAGAAAATGTCAAAACTGTCCTGATGAACCCAAACATTGCATCGGTGCAGACCAACGAGGTGGGTCTGAAGCAAGCAGATGCTGTCTACTTCCTCCCCATCACCCCTCAGTTTGTCACGGAAGTCATCAAGGCAGAACGGCCAGATGGGCTGATCCTAGGCATGGGAGGCCAGACAGCCCTCAACTGCGGTGAGTCACTTACAAATGCAAAGTTTCGGCCTGTGCTCTTGTACATAATTTTTTCTTTGAACCTATCTAATAATTATGTTCTTTTTACTCAGGAAAGCTTTCTAATATGTGGGGAAGTAGCCACCTGAAAATGTCATATAACAAATATTACTGGATTATTTCACAAAACAGCTAAGACACAAAAAGACACATTTTACTTTAATGTTCAGGGAAAAACAAGTGGTTTTCTTATATCTCCCACCTTTATCCAAAGATACTGCTTTTTCCTTCTATAGTGAAGTTCTGAGAACATTATAAATGAAAAATGAGAATTAATATGGACTTAGTGGTGTAATGTGTCAACACTGTGGCATTTTTGCATATATTTTTGTGGTCACAGGACCAGTCCTTTTATCATCCCTTTGCTTATCTACTGAGGCCCCTGCTCTTCCCTCTTCAAAACGGGTAAAACCTTTGGAACTAGATCATGAATGAATTTCTAGTTAGTTGGGGTAAGCAGTTGGTGATGCAATCTCTGTATGAAATATGAAAGAATTAGCCAAAATCAGATGGCAAATTAGTGAAAACATACAATTTTCATAATTTCAAATCTAGATATATACTCTTGTCACTGGGGTTACTTAAATAAGAGAACTTTTTTTTGGAAATGGACCTCAGAAGACTTTATAATATGCAAAAGTCTTAAGATTTTCTGTACTCCTGATTTTTTAAATATCATCACTTTTATTATGGAGAATTTTACCCTGCAAGTAAGGTGATTATATAAGTGACAGAAATATTAGCAAAAAAAAAAATTGTCAGGATGACTTCTGAATTTTCATTTAAAAAATATATATTTTTTTCTATCCTACGTGCAATTCTATTGTGGCTGGGGATGGCTTCTTGAGGTTAATTTCAAGATTTTCAAAATTCTGTATTATATTCAGGTAGCTATTTTAAAAATGCCGCAAGAGTTTGAAATTTTAAAAACTGATGATTTTCATTCTTCTGTAGGAGTGGAACTATTCAAGAGAGGTGTGCTCAAGGAGTATAACGTGAAAGTCCTGGGGACTTCAGTTGAATCCATTATGTTCACAGAAGATAGGCAACTGTTCTCAGACAAACTAAATGAGATTAATGAAAAGATTGCCCCAAGCTTTGCTGTAGAATCGGTAAGGAATCTTTGCTCTAGAGAAACAATGTCATTATTTTTCCTGTATTCTAGAGATGATGATTTGTCATACCTATAAATAATAGTTAAAGTTATTATATTTGCAGAGATTTTCTTCCAGAAATGTACTTGCACTTCAGAGACATTGAATGTAAACTGCTGAAATGTTAGGGATTGGCATTCATAATTTTTTATGAAAAGAAAACATAAACCCAGAGATAAAGTGGTTTATCAACTATTTACCACTCTCACCACTTCTCAATTAAAGTTAAGAATCATACTAACTTGCCATGACGAAGTGATTTTTACCTTCTTCCTATGACCATTCACATGTCTTTGATGTTGGAATGACCTATAGTTGGGAAGTGATTGGATTTCAATGTTCTTATTAGAATGGACTACATGTTTAAAAATGAAATTACCTAGAAAAAAACACCATTGACTTTAATCAGTCAGGCCTATGACTGAGAAATCTGTTGCATAGATATCAAGGAGGAGAGATGGTTTTGTGTTTCTGTTAAAACATCTCCATCATATTCCATCCATCTTCCATTCTATGCCTATTGACTTATCAGTTGCCAGGTTAAAGTCAGCTTGCTGTACATCAGGTTTGCCTTGACTTTGCTCCTGATTTCAGGCACGTAGTTCATGGAGTAGGGGTACCAGAAGCAGTTTTTGATGCAGGTTTCCCCATTGTAGAAACAGGAAGCTCCCTTAGGGATAAGGCAAATATTGCTGGAACAGCTAAAAATGGACCATGTATGTTTCAGAAAAGAATGCTATCAAGTATATGGCATGTTACAAAGCTGTCAATCAAGAATAGTCCCAGGATAGCTCTGCTGAACATTTGGAAAGCTCCTGCCATACATTTATTCTTTCATTGCCAGATTTAATTATGTCCTTGCTTTCTCAGGATGAGAAGCAGGCATATGGGAAAGGTGTAATTACATTCCCATTGGTAGTGTAATAATACTCGATGACAGGAAAATATAGCCACCATATGTTGTATTTTGTAAGTTAAAAAAAAAAAAAATCCCAAGCTTCTGGGACTTCTTTCTGACGGGACTTGAAAAATGAAAAATGTCTTTCTATATAGTGTTCCTAATGCTGACTGTAGTAATACCAAGTTAGTTTACTTAGTAGTAGGAGACCTTGTTTCACTATGAGCTGAACATGCTTAAACTGAATAAAAAATTAAACATGGTTCTCATTTTCAAATTACTGATGATTGTTTCTGCTTGGGCCATGCTTTATTTCTCTATACATCAAGGTAAAATTCACCACAAAGAGATAAACAAAAAAAACCTTTCATTGATTATTTTTCAATACTGGAATTTTACTTAAAATTTGTTAACACTTCTTTTCCAGAAAGACTAGAGGGAATCACACAACATTTCCATTTTTACTTTTCTCAAATAAACTGATATATCTGAATTGCCAGATTCTCTTTGTATGGTCTTTTCTGTGAACATAACCTGCTTTGAAATTGCTGAATCCTTGTTCCTATTGACAGATTGAGGATGCACTGAAGGCTGCAGACACCATTGGCTACCCAGTGATGATTCGTTCTGCCTACGCCCTGGGTGGGTTAGGTTCAGGCATCTGTCCTAACAAGGAGACCTTAGTGGATCTCAGCACAAAGGTATGTATTTCCACAGGTCAAATTCTGAGCAACCAAGAAAAGTGACCTGATAGACCTTTCAACTAAGAAATTTTAATAGACAAAAATAGTATTTTCTCATGTGGCATATGAAGAAACAAAGCAAAGGGCCAGAAAACTAATCCAGAAAAATCCCTAGAAATCTGATTGTAGACTTGAGGTTACCAGAAGAGGAGTGTGTGGGAATGGGGAACAAGGGAGAAGAGGGTTCAGTGGAATGTGGTAGAGGGCTGTGGGTGCCTCTGTGGTGGGCATGTGTGGAAACATACATCTGACAGAGGGTGAATCTATAACCGCTAATCAGATGCAGTGTTACAAATCAATATCAGTCCAATAAAAATATCATTAAATAATAATGATAGTAAAAAACAATAGCGCATATTTTATAAAAAATAATAAAACCTATTTTTTTTATTAAATCACTCATATTCTCTAAAAGTGTTTTTTAAAAGTGATACCTTTGAAAGTGAAATGCAGTTAGCCCAGTTGGTCCTAGGCAAATTGATGATCACTTGCCTTCATCTTTGTTGTCCTTTCTGCTGACTTCAGTGCTATGAATTTAATCTGCTGCCGTCTTCCTCCACTTCACAATCTGCTGCAAAATACCCATAGTACTAAAATGCATTTTAGTAACACAAAGTAGAATATAATATCCTATTTTCCATTTTTTTTGAAATGATGGATGTGAATGACATCTAGTAAGTGAAACAAAAGATATCAGGTGTGTAAGATCATATCAAAAAGGAGTGAGCTGTCTGCCAGTTATCACACATATAAACAAAAGTGATATTTGAGTGCTTATAACTTCTTTTCTATCAAAATCACTTTTCTATATTACTAGACTTTATTTTCTTAAGTATATGGGGACAAATTGAGAAAATTGATATTCTCTAAAGCAAAAATTAGAGATTAACTTAGAAAATCTGTTGTGAAACATTGGGTTTTGCCCACACTAATTGCTCAGAGGATGGAATGGCAGTGCTGGTGGCTAAGTGCATGTTTGTTGAATGAATACATGTGTAGCCAGGAACTTCTGTAACTTACATGGCAGACAAAGCTGTGAATCTGACAGAGTTCTTGTGAGGACTGTTTGGGGGAGTGTTGAATAAATAGTTCAAGTAGAGCTTATAGCTTTATCATGACTTTCTCTTAGAGTGAAAGAAAACCAAGTCCTTTAAGTGCTGACATGGGATTTCTGAGAACAGATAAATAAAATGAAATATATTTAACAACGATGACAAATTTACGCATTGACAATTTGAATTTAATTTTTCTAAAGTTGCCAAAACAAAAACAATGAAGGAAAATATACCTAACATAATTGTTTCTTTTGCATTATGAACACTTGAGTCATGTATTAAAAGAAAAAAACATCTTTATGGAGGTACACATTTTTCCCCTCTAACCTCATAGAGGTCCCCATATTTTAAATATTAGTGATCTCTTCATTATTGCCAGTAGCTACTCTCTATATTCTATTTCTCTATTAGAAATTTATCATAGTGTATATAGCTAATTTGAACACCACTTTTTTTCTCTAAAAAAGTTTACAATTGGGGCAGTTTTGGAATAGGATAGTTTTTAATTATGTTCATGCCTTTAAGTGATCAATAGACCTTTTGATGGTTCTCTTTGTTGAAAACATTCCTGGTGGGAATAATCACTTGCATTATTCTATTCTAAGCTACCCCCTCATCTTCATAAGATGATGTTTCACACACTTTGAAGCTGCATGATCTCACCTAGGTCTCTAAATTAACCTTAAATATAAAATCTGAGGCTTGAAAAAGGATTGAGTGAGATTACTGGTGAAGATAATTTCCATTGTGCTTGTGTCGGACTATCTAGTCCACACCATTAGAATGCAGAAAGGTTTCCCTGAATACTCTTTTCCTTGGAATTCCTTTAGCAAACACAACTAAAGACATATTAATCACTATTCAGTTGTTGACACTGGCTACAGAGTTTCCTGACCATTTTAGAAACTTCATCATGGGCACTTATGGGACAAATGTGTTACATTTGCAGTTCCACATGCTGGAGCCTGTCCTGTTGACTGAGGTTAAAAATAATAGTGTTGAGACACATTATGCAAAAAACTTATATTGCAATATTATTTCATTATACACCCCGCTAGTAATTTAAAAACATTCCAACAATTTTCTCCAGCTACTTTTTCTTCCTTTCATTGCTGTGGTAAATCAAAAATATATGAGACAAAGGGACATGACTGTCTTGGACTTGCAGCCAGTAAATATCCTGAGGTCAGAGATTACCTCTTTGTAGTTTGGGTTCAGTGTTCTACCCACCAGTGGCTGCTCAGTAAATATGAAATTATAATTATACTAACTCATATCTGTTTAATCAGGCATACATGATATATGACTCAGTATTTAAGCACCAAGGCAGTGATTAACCATGATAATAGTGGCATATGATTCCTCTAATTCTCAAGTTTCATATGCCATCTTGGCCAACTGTTTACAACCATCATCAGCTCCTTTCTTCTCCTCATCAACATCAACTGACTTTTATTGTGTATGTCACTATACAAAACACCCTCAGCTATTTTAGAGAAAGCCAGAGTCTTTAGACTTATTTTTCCATATTTATTCGTACTTATCACATTTTCTAGTTTCACAGAAGCCTAGCTGCTGAAATAATTTCATTTCCCTCTGCCTGATTGCTCAATTATTTTCTCTTTTTCCTAAATTAGTTTGATTTAATGTCATATCAGCACTTTGAATGGCAAGCCTCAATAATGTAAATCAAGCATATTCACTGCAGGATGCTATTCCTACCACCTCACTGATTTTCTGACACATTGTGCCTTTTGGAGCAGACGGGTGGTGGTGGGGGGGTGCAGTTTGGGTGGAGGAGAGTGGAGACTGGGCTTGAGAATTTGGGTTTGACTAGGGAGGAAGCCAGGGCATTTTGCCAGTTTCCCATATTTAAACCATTGCGTTTTCTTACTCTTGATTATCTTTTATCACCAATTTCCAGGCCTTTGCAATGACTAACCAGGTTCTAGTGGAGAGGTCAGTGACTGGTTGGAAAGAAATTGAGTATGAAGTGGTGCGAGATGCTGATGACAATTGTGTAACTGTCTGCAACATGGAAAATGTTGATGCCATGGGTGTTCACACAGGTAGGCAGAAAGTCACAAGAACTATTGCCATGCCTTCAGTTCATGTCTTTGATGGTGTCTGGCTATCTTCACTCATTTTTTTTTTTTTTAATACTATTATTCTTATCAGGCTAGTCAAAAAATTTACACATAATAGTATTTTTCAGTACTGAAAATACATTAAATTTATATTCACAAAAACCCTATCAAATAAAACAGGTATCACTATCCTGATTTTCTTCAAGAAAAGGGTCAAATATAAGCAATATAGTAAATGAAGACTTGGTGTTGAGGAATAACATTGCAAAAAAAACTTAAATTAGTCTGGGGTGTTAGTCACTAAGTGAGGTAGGAAATTGCCACAGTGTTGAGATTATCTGGCAATGTTGGGAAGAGACCTGAGTCCGTAGAGACCTGAATATATTTGTAGGCTGAAGGGATGGTGACTGAAGGCTAAGAGATTGAAGATATTAACATTAAAATTGGAGAAGAGTGAAAGAATGGGAAGGGGTAGATAGAGCATACAGATGAATGAACCTGTCTGGGTTAAGAAGATATTATATTCTATGGAAGTATTTGAACAGAGAGAATTTGAGCTAAAGAAAAGGGGAATTGGTAAAGTTCATATCAACCTGGTAAACAGATGACTGAAATCTTCAGATTTAAATAACCTTGGGAAAGTGGTTTCTGTGAGGAATGTGTCAGAGTGCAATAGGTGAAACAGGAATCAGAGACATAATGGCTAAACTGCCTTAATACACAGTGCCACAAATGAGTTCTTTTCCTAACAAACATGTGGACATTTGTGTCTTGTTTTGAAGTAGATTCATTCACTAAAGTTGCCACCAGATAATAAACGCTCTTTGTATGTACAGGTGATTCCGTTGTTGTGGCGCCTGCCCAGACCCTGTCCAATGCAGAGTTCCAGATGTTGAGACGCACTTCGATCAATGTGGTCCGCCACTTGGGCATCGTGGGTGAATGCAACATTCAGTTTGCCCTTCATCCTACCACCATGGAATACTGTATCATTGAAGTAAATGCCAGACTCTCCCGAAGCTCCGCCCTGGCCTCCAAGGCCACTGGGTAAGGCCAGAATGATGGACCCTGGTTTGCAATTTCTTTGCTGGTAGAGTTGGAAAATTGACAGCTTGTGGAAGACTGTATACCATTTATAAACACTAGTCTCCATTTCTATTTTCTGGCTTCAAATCACTTAGCACCCTAAGGACATGGTTATTAATGAGCTTGCCACCAGATTGATGCAAACGGTATTGTGAGCTGACTGTGTTTGCTGGCTAATCATAAACTAATCAAAAGCTAGGTGGTCAAAACAGGCTGTGAAAAATCTGCTTCTTAATTGCTCTTTGCAGATGTTGTTAAAAAGTGCCAATTAATCTTTAATTTTAGTCTTCAACTGGCATCTTAGGTTGTATACTAAATGGTAGATAAATAGTTCTCTTAACTTGAGTATTCAGTACACCTTATTTTAACAAAACTCCACAAGATTAAATAATGTTGGTTTTACATGGGTAAATACTGCAGCCACATATGTAAGTCTGCTAACAAGCATAATTGGGAAAATTTATTAATAACTTCTGTTTCTATTAATGTATTTAACATCTGGCATTTAAATTGGGTGGCATTTAATGAACAAATGTCTACACCTAAGGATTTCTTTTTTTGGTGTTCCATGGAGTGGTGGAAGGCAGCAAACCTGAGTTTTTCTGGTTCTTAGACTGAAATGTCACATTGTTTCAGTATGTTTCCTCATCTGTTAGGTGGGAGAGTTGCCCTACAGGATTCATATATAATTATGTAATGCTCTGAATTATTTTCTCAAATACAGCTACCAAAACTGACTTTCTAGAGGAGTATAGTTAAGTTCCCAGAGTGTTAGTTCTGTAAAGAACCCAAAAATGGTTCAATGATAATTTAAAGACAGAGCAGGACCCAGATTTCCATTGCACGTCCAGTATCTTCCTAGGTACAGGCATGTAGGCATTTTTTTAGGAAAATATGTTCCAGATTCTTCTCTTAGTGGATGCTACATACAAGTGAACGCTTTGTCAAGAAAACTATTGATTTTGGCTTGAAGAGGTGAGGGTTGGGAGTTGTCGTACTGCATGTCAGATGCACTGAGAATTCTTTTGTGATTTTTGCTTGTGTGCTTTATGTGGAAGCACATTATTTTGTAAGTGGATGATAAATATTTGTACAGAGTAGAGCTCACTTATGTTTTATACCCCAATGTTAAACAGAGCTAGAATTTCTAAGACCAATTTATGTTTTGAGTTATTTTGCATGCTTACGGTCAAAAGAAAATTAAGATGAAAATGTTTCTTCCTGTGTAGCTACCCACTGGCATTCATTGCTGCAAAGATTGCACTGGGAATCCCACTTCCAGAAATTAAGAATGTTGTATCAGGGAAGACATCAGCCTGCTTTGAACCCAGCTTGGACTACATGGTTACCAAGGTTCCTCGCTGGGATCTTGATCGTTTTCATGGAACAACCACCCGAATTGGTAGCTCAATGAAAAGTGTGGGAGAGGTGAGTCCTTGGTTTCTTTCTCTTTTGCTTTTAGATGCTTTGTCAAATGCTTGACATTAAAAGTCTTAAGGTTGCCTGGGTATTGAGTTCTTGATTAAAGAATATATATGAATTTCCTGTCCTTCCTAAATCTTTTCATTAGACTGTTAAAACATGACATTTGTTACTTTGTTATTTAATGGAGTCTATAAGTTTCTACTCAAAAGGAAAGATAATACATGTGGCCATACAATCTGTATACACATATGAGAACACATTTTCATCTATGCATTCTATGTGCATGTGTGTTTTATAACCACAATGAAACCAAGAAAATCAAATGATATAAAGGACAATGTTATATATCAATCAAAAAGATTACTGAACAGAGGTTAAGAATTCAACTTTAGTTCATTCACAAAATTGTGACTTTGCCCTCCTTACGCCTCATTTTCCTTGTCTATAAAAGAAAGGCAACGGACTAAAAGAGCTCTCATGGTCCTTTTAGCTCTAAAATTTCAAATTGAGAACTTTGTGAAATAACAAATTTCCTTTTATTACTCTGAAATGTTCTAAACGTTTAGCACTTTTTTCATAAAATTTGCTTTTATACTATTTAAAATTAAATTTAGCTTTGGATTATTCAGATACACTGTTCCTCTGTGTGGGAGGGAAGAATGCAATCAGATCCCTGCCTCTGAATTTTACTTCATTGCCCACTTCCACACCCAGTCTAGGGCCTTATCTCTTTTCGCATTCAGAAGACTTAGCTTAGTGGAGAGAACATGAGACTGGAACTAGATGAACTTGGGTTTTAGTTGTGTCATTAACACTTACTAGCTGGACACTCTCACTGGTACACTGAGCCTAGGATTCTTCATCTGAAAACAGAGATGATCCTATAAGGTTTAGAGTTTAGGGTTAATACATGTAAAGTGTTTAGTAATCTCTTTTAAGGTAAATGTATAGCATGCCACCTATATATATTCCATTATTATTATTGTTATTAATTACAGATAGAATTTTGAGTATCAGCACTATGCATGAATCTCAATCTTAATATCTGTATCTCTAGCTCTCTCTCTATCCATCCATCTACCCACATATCCACCCACTTGTCTATCACCTTTAATCAATTATCAGCCATCCATCATAATTATTTAGCTCATCTCTACATTGTCAATGTAGCTGCTCTTAGTCTGTCTAGATACCTATGCTGGTTAGATTACAGAGCAGAAATCTATTTATGACATATTGTTGTGTATTGGCTTTCACTTGTCTCAGATTATAACCTAATCTAGATGAGCCATTTCAGAAATTGATGCCACTAATCAAAGGAAAGACAACTTAAATATATCACCAATGCAGAGAAAAAGAAAATAACTATTTACTGATGAATCATATATAGACATGAATGACAGAATTATTACTATTTTGGTTTTCTTAATTTCTAAGATGTTAAGAAAAATTTTAAAGTTATGACAGATAAAGAACATTTTGATATTTTAAATTAAAATGCCTTGTAAAACAACACTAATTAGCTTTTCCCCATTCAAATTTGTTTCAACCTTAGTTTTTCTATTTTCTCTTTTAGTATACAATATAATTAGAATTCAGATGCCATACAAAGGTTTATTAGTTGAATTTTCACAAATAAATAATTATTCAGTTTACATTTCATGAGATCAGTCTTTTATAAATAATATTCAAAGTAAAATTTGCCAGACAAAGCATATGAGGTAATTTTGTATTTTCATTTGGGGCTTATTATCTATGGAGTTTTTGTTGTCAACAAATATTTAGCACCTTACGTTTAATTCAGCTCAGGTTGGTATCTTTCCTCACATTCTTACTGTGAACACAATGCTTGAGGATAAAACAATGGGAAAAATGTAGATAATTAGGACACATTATTTGCTTTTGGTAAATGCACAGAATATAAACAGATCCAAATATAATATTAATTAAAATATAGTAAAAATTAAAATATAGAGTTTATTTACACATCTTGTGAAAATATAGTAGAATAGAGTCAGGGTTGGTCATGGTAGTTATTCCATTAACACAGCTATCCCATTAAAAAGTGGTAAAGTTTTTACTTAATGAATGTAAATTGCAATAACATAGGGTATTAAAAAACACAGATTTTGAAAGCTAGGTATTTATTCTTTTATTATTAATTGGTATGCTTATTTCTCTTTTATTGACTGTATTCTATATACCATTATGTAAAGAGTGCTTGGAAGCAATAACACGTTTTCTCTATGAAATTAAAAATATAATTTATAATTTATTTCTATAAATAAAAATCTATTTACTTATGGTCAAATTTTAAGCATATAATTATTGTAAATTTTATAGCATTCCAAGAACATTATAAAAATTATAAAATTTCTTAATTTTATGGTGCCAGGAAATATCTTATTTCTGGCAGTTTTTCTCACGCCCAACAAATCCATAAACTCATCATTTAATTCTTAATAAGATTAACATTTTGTTTACCCCTGCTCTTGAGAATCTTTCCTTATTTCTAGTTAAATTTGGAACAGTGAAATTTGGAACAGCATTTTGTTCACAGTAAGAATGTGAGTGAAAGGCTAGTTTTTGTGTTTTAGTCAGTTTTGAATATGTATCCTGTCATAGTTGCCACAAAGATTTACTAAATGGACATTAATGGGAATCTATTTGAGGAATCACGGAAGTTTACTGAAGGCAGCATTATGACTGTTATTATTTTAAATTGGAGACCAAAAATGTATAGCAATCTATTATTCCATGGAAAGGTTCAAAGGCAGTGTTTATCCACTGAAAATAACTAGTTAGGATTCAAGGTCCATTTAAGTTTAGTTCTGACTTGTAACTTGTCCAGCTAAATCACCACATGCTTTTTCTAATTTATTAGTGTACAATCAGCTGTAAAGATTGTGGGAAGACATGCTGTATGTGTCAGGGGGAATTTAGTACCCACTTACCTCCAAAATCTGAATCTGTCAGTATTCACTATGATGCTCAAGCTTCTATTAATAGTAATGCTTAGCTGTCAAGAAAGTCAGAGCCTGTCTTGGGTACTTACTTATGCCCATTTGGAAATAATTCTGCTTTGTTAAAATATGTCGGTTTCTTTTCATTGTCTTTATTGTAAACAACATCTGCACCAAAGCAAAGGATTATTATTAATGGCTATATGGTCTGACCACAGAGTCCCTACTTTAATACTGTGGTTCATTGCTCTTAACACTCACGGGTAAATTCCCAAAGTGGTAAAAGACTGACCTAGTGGTAAAGGCTCATTACATCAAAACCATGAAGAAAAAGAGAGGGGAAGAAAAATAATACCTAAAATGTGAATTGTTTTCTTTTGATATATGTTTTTTTTCTTAAGTGCTTTCTGCAAGCTAATCTAGTTCTGTTATAATTAAATATATATATAGTCTTATATGTTTTCTAAATGTGATCTCTTTAAATGCATGCTCCAGGTGATGGGGATTGGTCGCACTTTTGAAGAGAGTTTCCAGAAGGCATTGCGTATGTGCCACCCGTCTATTGATGGGTTCACCGCCCGCCTCCCAATGAACAAAGAATGGCCGTCTAACCTCGACATCAAAAAAGAGCTGTCTGAACCCTCCAGTACTCGCATCTATGCCCTTGCTAAGGTAAAATGTGACAGAAAGCATGTACACACACTTTCATTCAGGACATAGGCAGCTTTGACTATAAAATAAGAATCACAGAGTGGCTTTGCTTTCAGAGATTTCTGGAAAAAACTGTAATTTTCTTCATTATTCTTAAGCTGAAGACATCCATGGATTTCATATTCTATAATTAATGAAAATTTGCCCTTTTTTATTTGACTTTATGCCTGAACTTAGGGCACATTGTAGCTTTTATTATTATTATTTTAAAATAAATATTTATTCATTTATGCATACAGAACTGGGGTACAAGCCAGAGGTACCTTGCAGGGGCAGTGGGAGGATTCACAGAGACAGAGTAGGGAGCAGAACAGGCAGATAGACAAGTACACTGCTGAGGGGAGTAGTGAGCAGGTCAGGAGAGGTCTGCCAGCCATGTGGGTCACCACCCACACACGGGCAGGGGGATCAAACTCTCTCTGAAGAGGCTGCGGCTGCCTTTGTAGTGCTACGCTTTAACCCATTGTGCCACCAGAGAGGGCCCACATTGTAGCTTTAAAGTATGATCATATATGTAAAATATATTAATTGTGCCATCAGTACTCTTAAGTAGAGTTTGATAACATTGATTTGTCATGTCCTAAGATACTTTTTCCTTGATATTGTATAAAACTGCACTTTAGAAAGATGCATAATATACTATCATTTAGTATGTGCTATCTAGGACCCTAGAATAATCTTTTTTTATTATCTTTGTGTGTGTGTATGTTTAAACAATAGCAACAGACTATAAAAAATTTCTATATCTATAAGCTTTTCTATATAATTATTTTATTGTTCCTGTCTCCCACATCTTACATTTCTTACTAATGCCTACTAGTTCCCTTTTATGCAAATTAAGTGCTTTATTAATCTCCTTTCATGTTTACTATGCGTACAGTTGTGAAATTTCAGCCCACGTGATTTTATAAAGGTGACTTTGGCAGCTGGGATGTGTCTGGTCAGAAATCCCTGAATGCTTTTTGACATTTAAGGAAGCTTAGACATTAATCCTCTAACAGTATCAAACAACACTGGAACTCCAACCCTTGCTGACCATTGTGTGTGTATGTGTGTGTGTGTGTGTGTGTGTGTATACATGAGGGGTGAGTTGATGAAATAGCAATTTTATCTTTCGAAAAGGAAACCATCTTTGCAATTTGCCTTTGTAGCAACAGAAAAAAAGCTGTAAATGATTTTGAACTCACTGTAACTTTTATGTCCATGTATTGAAAATTCTAGAGAGACAGGAAGGAGGGAAGATTTGCTTCATTGCATGTAATGTATACTCTCTTCACCTTCATGGTTTCTAAATGCAGAATATTTAAGTCTCATTAAAATTCTGGGAGATACTAGTATCTTTTGATGAATGTTTCTCAATGTGAAGTTTCAAAGTAATAAAGAATTAACATTCTTCCATGGTGGGGAAAGTAGTAGTAGCTGTGATAAGAGGTTATTTTAGAAAGCCATTTCATTATTTTACCGTATTTATTGTTCCTATTGCAGTCTTTTGTTTATAAAGCTGTCTACCATCTACCACTTTCATGTGTGTGTACATGTATATATGAATATAGATATATATTTTTTTCTGACACAGTAATTGGACTTTTTCCTTATATCTGGTTCCAAATTTCCATCTAGGTTGAATAGCCAAGCATATTTCTTATTCTTTTCTAACAAACTTAAAAAGGATGAGAATTCAGGGGAAAATATGGAAAGATTACTTCTTGTGCACATAACCCTGTGTGTGAGCAGGAAGGGCAGGATCTAAGGGATAAATTATTGTCTGCCTGAGTGCTGGGAGAAGGAACTGATTTCTGTTTGTTAGAGGTCATCATTACTGTTCATTTCCACAGCAACCAGGGGCTTGGTGATTTTGACAGAGTGTAAGGACTACAGAGGGTTGGAGGGGAAAAAGAATGCAGGGAGTGTGTAAATCTTTCCTCGCTTTCATGACTTTTAGAAAAGGGCAACCAGCTCTGAGGTCTGATTTTTACAGCAGTTTTATTTTGGGATGACTGAATCATCATCTTTTGATTTGGGGTGAATACAGGGCATTATTTTCATTTTGGGAACATTAGAATAGCCTCACACGTGTGACACCAAAGCTTCGGTGCTGAAGATGAAGTACTAAGACTGGCAGAATCTTCCTTTCTGATTGAATCTGTGGAGGGGACCATAGTTGTCCTTTTTACAGTAATCACCGCAAGATTCTAGGTCCTTCCATGGCACAGTGTTGACTGTTTAATTGCATGAAAGCTTCCCTTGGTCTGTCAAAAGTGTTCTAACTTAAGGATCTATATCCCCCCTCACAGTTTTGATCTCAACAGCAAAATGTGCCTTTAGTCACTTGTAAAATAAGACAAAATATTAACTTCTTTGGAATCTGGTTATAATTACAGGGAAAATTAGACAAGAAAAATAGACTTAGGAACCACATATGCTGTTGAGTGCTCCTATTAGTGCCGTCTGTCTCTACTCAACAGAATTATGAGCTCTGCTATAGCTCAACATTTATAAACATGGCCTGTATGATCCTAGAACAATAAAAGCCTTTAAGAAAACATAGCTCCCTGAATTGTAATATATTGACAGCTACTAGTTTAGACATACCACACACACACACACACACACACACACACACACATTTGTGTGTGTCAGTTTATTATGTGTTATTCTGGAATATTATTATTTTTATCAGATATACATTTACATATAATAGCAGTAAAGAATAAGAGAATTGATATATTTTGGGTAGCCTGGTATTTTTTAGTTGCCTTTTCTATTCAAATTAGTAGACCATAGTTTTGAGAAATAACTAAAGAAAACTTGAGACTTGAGACAAAGGCTGAACAGAAGTCATCTTTATATTGTTTTAGAATATACCAGGATTTTGTGAAATGTTTATCGTAGTTCAAAAATCAGTTATTGACGTCCTCTCTGAGGAAATATTCTAAAGAAAGATCACCAAGCCAGATTTGGTCCATAAGGTCTCATGGTGGGCATGTGGAATGAGGCGATAAAAATTTGCTATTTGCTGGCCCTCCCTGGTGGCACAGCGGGTTAAAGCACAGCACAAAGAGGCTGGGGCCACTTCCGCATGAATTTGATCCCAGTCTTCCCTGGAGGAAATCCACATGGTGTGGCAGACCTCTCCTGACCCCCCCGCTGCTCCCCTCAGCAGTGTACTTCGTCGATCTGCCTGTTCTGCCCCCTGTTCTGTCTCTGGTGAATCCTCTCACCACCCCTGCAATTCTGGCCTGTACCCTAGTTCTGTGCGAATAAATAAATAAATATTTAAAAAAAATTGCTATTTGCTAAAGGATAATTATCTAAAATACAAGTTAAAATTTCATTATATTGATTCTAGATTTTCTGTAGTTTCAAGAGATTGTCTTTACTGAAAAGGGATGTACCAAATTTAGGATACAGCTGTTTAACATAATCATATAAAAACCATAACAGGGGCTCCTGTGTGCACAGACCAGGACCCTCTGTTTACCAGTATGGAGGTAACAGCATCTTTACCAGTTGACAGCATCTTTATTTAGATTTATTGAGAGGAACATCTGTGATATATTTGTTTCATATCTCAGTCTATATAGCCTCCATTTCTAAATACAATAATGTGGAGAGGGGTGACTGCTTTAAGTTTTCAACCAAATAGACATTAAAAAATGTTTGCCAAAGAAACTATTTTTTCTCCTTTTGGCAGGCCTTGGAGGATAACATGTCCCTGGATGAGATTATGAAGCTCTCCTCCATTGACAAGTGGTTTTTGTATAAGATGCGTGACATCATAAACATGGAAAACACCCTGAAAGGACTTAAAAGGTAAGACAGTATTGCTTTGATCATTTGAGATATCTTCTGTACAATTTTTGAATTGCCTTTCTCTTACCTGGAAGCTTTTGGCTGAAATTCTGCATTAGTGATATAAATAGTGCCAAGTTTAGAAAGCAGAAATACAGTTTTGCATGTTTACCTTTTGAAAAGTATCTATTAACATTTTGAAATCTTTTCTCCAACTCTTGGCGTCAAACAGTGGTGACTTTATGTTATTCAAATGATGACTGTCAGTAATATGAGTAAACTAATTTACTACCAAGTATTACTTAGGTAATGATTAAATGAATAATGTTCCAAGTTTAAAATCTATCTCTTTAAAATCATTCTGCACATTGATGTATACTGATGAACCAGTATATTTCTCTTACATTCAACTGATACTTTCAACATTGAAATTTCCAATTCAGTAGACAAATAAGTTTCAAGTTTCTGTTAATAGACTCTTTACCTCTCACTAATTTACATTTGCATTTCCTCATGACCAATTGCTTTTAAAATTTCGTTTCATGTTCAGAATATTCTAATAATGTCAGTGCTTTATTTTTTTTATTTTTTATGGAAAAACAATTTGCTATGGCACCTTAAGAGTATGAAACCACAGAGAGGTTTTAAATGTCTATCTTTGATAAGAGGAACATTTATTACCAATTAAAGAAGACAGTGTAATATATCTCTTTATCTTCTCTTGAAGAGGATTCTGAAATATACTACTATTAGACAAACATCTCATCTAGAAGCCTAGCATATGAAAAAATTTGTTTATGTAAATTACCCTCAAATGATTTGTGAAAATATAAAAAAATAATTTAAATTGTTGCTGAGGACCGTGGAACATCTCAAAACCTGGATTTTTTTTTTAACTATTTAGCATCTGTAGCATGTTAACTGGGTTACAGTCTTTGCCTAATCAAGATGCACAGAAAGTGGGCACTAAAATAACTTTCTTTTTGAGCAAAATGATGTTCTTTTTCATCTATTCAACAATTGCTCATAACAATGATTGATTTTGAAAATTGGGGAGTTCCTATCTGCCAAATAAAACTATCTATAGTTGCTCATAACTCATTCTTTCTAGTGACCACACAAAATGAACAACAGATAGAAAGTAGGCAAGGAATCGAGTCTACACATTCATCTTAGAATTTTGCTGACTTGAAGTTTCCTTTCTTGGTTTATGATACCAGCAGAACTTGCATGTTGAATTATAGTCTGTTCCACTGTTTTCAATTTCTGACAATTGATTTCAAATGCCTAGGAAACCACTTCAATTAAACCACATGAGGGTGCTAGAAACTTGCAGTATGCCGATTGTAGCAATGTGACCTGGGGTGAAAAATAGCAGATGTTATTGTGACTTAAATTTCCACTTGATACATTCTGAGTTTTGGACAGTTTTTCAAATTTTAATTAAATAGTTTTTGCTACAATCAGAAAACAGGGTATGAGTCTTACTAAGCACAAATCAGTATGTATTGGTAGTGGTAAAGGTTTTTGCAGAATTCTAATGAATTACTGTCATAGATAATTATCTGACTTCCACATTCTGTTGCATTTATTTGTTGATCATTTACATTTTTCAGCCTCCAATTTCTGGAGACTGAAGTTTATGTGTAAATAGAGGTATTTTCTACTGTTCATAATGATCTATGTTAAAAACTTAATAATATAAGAGTTTATCAAGTTGTAATTATCTCTTGTTCCCAAAACTCAACAGATAATTCATGGCACTAGTAAACCTAAATCCTGAACTCATTGTCTTACAATACTTTACCATTTAATTCACTTTTTTGTGGTGTGTCTAGATGCATACATAGCAATTTGGTGATGATTGTATTTGGAGACATTTCATAAATAAGAACAGAGAGCTACTGACGCTGTTTGTCTCAGTCATTTTGTGGCACAGGGGACCCATCACTGCTGATGGACTATAAGCCTATAGGATTTGAGTTTCCTGTCCTATCTTGATTATCTTCATCCTTAGCCTGAATTATGATGTCTTCTGCTGCTTTTTTTTTTTTTTAACAGCCTGTATATATCTAGGGAGTTTCAGTCATCAAGATATTTATTGCTCCAACAATAATAGTAACTCTGTTTTAACAGGTGATATTAGGTGACTGAATTATGTATTGACAATTAGGGAGAAATTCAAGAAGATAAGTTGTTGTCCTTCATTTGCATTTATTTGTTTCAAGATCTCGCTGCCTCCAATTGGGAAAGATTAGATTTTGGTGAAGGATAAGGAGGTAGCTATTTAGCTGTCATGATTTTAGAGAACCTCATAATGCTTTTGCCACACTGTATCTCTGGAATCAGTGTGCACACTTCCTTTCTACTTACATGTCCCCAAGAAAATAGCCAGTCTCAGTTGGGAGAGAGGGAGAAGCTTGATGTGAACCAGAGAGATGATGATAGTCTTACTAACGAATTATGGGTACATCAACTCCCTCATTTCTGTAGCCTCATTCTTTCCTGTTCATGTCCATTTTATAATTCTGGTGTGAAGCTTTAAATGCTCTCAGTATAGAAGAACATGACACATGAGAAGTGCTCACAAAACAATCTTTTCCTTCAAAATAAATATGTTACTTGTTACAATGAAGAGTATTTTATGTTTTTAGATACGTGCATTTAAAGACTCATTTTTCAGAGTCACAGTTTGCTTTTGCTTATATATTTAGCAATGTGTCATTTCTTAATTTTCTTTATGATGCATTGTCATTTATTCTAATGCCAGACCTCTTTTTTTTTTTTAAAGGAAACAATGATAACTAGTGATAGGAATGCTATTCTCATGGAAAGATCGATAGCATTCCATTATGCTAATGGGCAAAAATTCCCACTCCATAGTTGTTAATCATGCCGAAATTCTTCTAAAATCCAATAAAGACATTCACTAGTAGAATATCACTCAAATTGATGGTCAGTCTGTGACCTATATTTACATATGGCCATTTGAAATAAAGTGCAGTATTTGCTCCCAAATGGAATATATACCGTGTGTGTGTGTGTGTGTGTGTGTGAGAGAGAGAGAGAGAGGGAGAGAGAGAGAGAGAGAAGCCAACAAACTAGAGTGAAGGAAACAAAGCAGTGATTGTAACAAGGTTGGCATTATGGAAATAACTGATGAATTTCCCCTGACTGCGAGAAAGTAGAATTTATAGTTTAGAAATCACTTCTTTTAAAACCTCGAGATAAACATCTGTCATGCTGAGGATGATGTATGAAATCCCAGCCTTCTTCAGAATGATGAGATAAGGTGGGCAGATATTAGAACAATTGACCTAGCCTCCCAGCTCTGAATCTTTGTTCCCACCAGGACTCATGTCCAATACATGAGCATAGCACAGGTGACCCTGGAAAGACTTTCAGCACAATAGCTCTTCTTAGCAATTTAGGTGATCACCTCTATTCAGAGAGAGTCAGTAAAAAGATTTCTTTCTCACTTGAGTTCACTGACTGTCTTTTCTCATAAATTGTTTGTTGCTGTCCAAGATCATGCAAGGGAAGTTGACTGTTTTAGGCAGTTTCCCCAATTTCTAAAATGGTATAACATATTACAATGGATTTCTTCAGATTCTGCAGTTTCTTTTTAGTCAGTGTGAGGGATGCTGTGTCCTGTGGGATCCCAGTGTCTTTTTTGGATATGCACTGGGACTTAGATGTTTGACAGTGACCAAAGATCTATTAACTCAGATTGTGAGATCACTGCAAGGGGTTTAAGAAAGGTTATCTTTCAGAATTGTTAGGGAAACTACAACATTTATATCAGCTTTACCCGTTGGCCTGCAGTACGGAGCCACCCAAACATTCATGTGTTCATTTTCCTGATACTCACATGCTCTACAAATGCTGACACTTTCATACATAATGGTTCTCCTATATGGCATTTTCATAAATACCCATTAGAAGAAAAATATGCTTACTACTTTGAACTAATGAAATAATCAAAATTTGACCTATAGACCTTTCCCTTAAGCTCATTTTTGGTAATGCAAATATATCTGACCTGGAGGACAGAGGTACAGATTCCATAAACCAAAAATCATGTTGTGTCTTCATCATCTAGCTAGAGCTAATTTCCTAAAATTACAACAAAATATATCGAGGTCTCTGGTAATACAAAATCTTGAATTTTGATTCAAGCAAACAATTCTGCATGCCTTCTCAGTGGACAGTAATACTCAGAAAATGTATTGACTTGGTATCAGGCACTGTTCGAAGATCACTGTGTAATTTAATTCTTGCTTCAATTTAAGGAGATTGGTAGCTATCCTGATTTAATGGATTGTAAACTGAACCACTAAGATATTTAGCAACTTCCTTGATACCACATGCTAATAAGTGACAGAATTAAGATAAAATTCAGAGTCTAGGGTATTTAATGCTTACCCCATATGCTCTATCTGCTGGAAATAAGAATACATAAAGTACATGCCTTCGGCGTAGTAACAGGGCTCACTAAATGGACACTAGTCCTACGACTGCAGCAATAGCACATACGACAACGGTTTCAACTATGTTAGTCATTAATAGACAGACACAGACACAAAGATCTCTCCTTGTGGAACCCTTTTCACCATAAGTAAATCAACTATAATGACACTTCTTTGGGAACAGAAACATTGAACAGAATACCTCAAACATTTTTATTTATATCCTGATGGGTGAGCAATTTTAGATTCAAAGACACTCATTATACTTTAACAAAAATATAACACAAACTGGCAAGAAAAATAATGCAAACATTGATTACTAGCTTTGAGCTTCTGCTTATCTGTGCCTGTAACTGTAATTTAAAAAAATTCTTTATTTTGATTATTTTTTGGTTCTTTAGCTCATTCTTACTCATGTACTTAGCATAGTGATTTTATTAGACCTGCCTCAATTGTATAATTTTGCTCTTTTACTGGCTAAAACTAAATTGAATTGAGTTTTGAATTCTTCCTTCATGTGACTGGCTTAAAGAAAACAGCTGGCCTCTGCTG